GCTAGGAGCATGAGTACTCTGTATTTGTTCTAGGGAGGTAAGAATATTCGCAACCGTGGATATTCACCCGAATCTGACCAATCGGGTACGGTAAAACTCGAACCCGAAGATTTTTCGGTGGGCATGGGTCAAACCGATTTGAATATTGCGGGTAATGGTTGAACATGGTAATCTTACTATTCAACCCAAACCTACTCGATTGTACGCATGCATACATATTTTGTCTAGAAATTATAATTTTTTTCTCAACATATTTTATATTTAGCATACAAATATAATATTTTCCTGAAATTATTTGTTCTTAATAAATTTTCTTTATTCTAGTAATCTATTGTACGTTTTCACTTTTGAAAAGTGAGTATACGTGTGAATTGACATGTTTGTTGAAATTATAGTGATAAATTATTATTCATAGATAATCGTGGATACCCGAAACTCAAACGAGTATGAGCATGATTTTTATTTTCTATGTGATTCTTATACAAATATGAGTAAAATCCGAACTATTTTAAATTGAATAATGAAAATGCACTATTCGTTCCGACCCAATCAGTTCCCCTCTCTAATTTGTGCCTTGAGATGGCTAGTAGCTAGCAACCAAGATTTGATTCTTCTTCATATCCCTTCCTTCCTTCCTTTCTTTACCCTCTAGGAAAAAATGATGGGATTGATACTCGACATCTTATTCTATTCCGGTAGTCCCATCAAGGAATGGGTAATGCTGCAATAATGCCAGTCTTAAGACTATTACGTCAATGTTTTCGAAAGAAGAACAAATAATAGAGGCGGATAACCGCCGGAGGAGTATTATAACAAGTAGTACCGCCGCCACCACGCCTTCCCCTCCCTCTTCAGCCGGCGACAAAAGCCAACGGATGTTTCTCCTTCGATGCATTGTATTTGTAGCCTTGCTTTGTCTTTCTACTCGTCTTTAATCTTCACACTTTTCTTATACGCCTTGTGAGGTTTTTATATGTGATTTTCGTTTCAATTGTGTGGTTTATGAGAGTTTTGGTATGGTTTTATGTGTTTACAGTTTGTTTCGTGATAATTTGTGGTAAATTGTATGCGGCTTCTTATATACTTTATGAATTTAGTGGTGCGGTGAGCTTTGTACTATGTGTAGTGTGCTTTTTATGTTTTTTTGTTTGCTTTATGTTCTGTTACAACGGTTACCTAACTAATTACAATCAAGTACCTATACTTAGTACATATTTACTAACTAATCCTATATAATTACATGTTCATCCTCTATCTATGCATAGTCTTTATTTTTGGTTCTATCTCTATTCTAATACCTTCTTTGTACAACAGAAATGGTTAAAAATATAAACACAATAACTAGAGCAGCAGGAGTTCAAGTATGTGGTTACTGTGGATAGTAAATGGATTCCATTTGATGATTTTCCACTATGTTGCTTATAACCTCCTGTAAATGAGCCTACAAACACAATTGTTCTTTCGACACACAATTGTCATATTTTTGCTAAGGGTAAATTGCAAGTTTGGTCACTAAGTTTATTAAAAACGTTCACGTTTGGTCACTACAAATATTTAATTCTATTAGTGGTCACTAAGATTAGTTCAATAGTTCAAGTTTGGTCACTCTCCGTTAGTCTCCGTTAAATTTAGCTTACGTGGCAGTCAACTTTAATAGTTGACCGTTAAATATATGACGTGGCAATTAAAAAATAATAAAATATTAATTTTTTATTTTCCACTTCAATACCATAATTAAAAATAAAAAAAACAATTCTTTTAATTTTCGTCATCGGATTCGAGGATGGCGGACCGATTTTTCTCACCAGTGGTCATTATCGATTCAAGCAACTGCATTTTCCTCGCCGACGAATCCTCCGCTTCTCCTCCGGGTCTTCAACTGGGTCGGGGTTTTCAACTCGGACAGTTTGAAAACATGGGACCGATTTTTTCCACCAGTCAACATGAGAAGGCATCTTCTTGGAATCCGCTGGAGGGTTTCTTCTCTTTTCGCACCGACGCCTCTATTAGTAGAACAATATCCTCCCACCGCAAACCCTACCGGCGCCCTTGTTCCCGAATTCGAACTAGCCTCCGTATGGTTTTATTGGTAATGGAGGCGATTCGTTTGAAGCGGAGGCCTGCAACTGAGCCTAAGCTAAAGGCGGCGACCGGACTACAAATCTACTGCTATCATATCCACCGGCCCCGCCCTTGCCGCAGGAGATCTGTGGCGGCGACAGGTGAAGCTTTTGCCAGGCAGCCTTCACTTGCTGCTGCTGATGTCGCCTCTCTCATATTGAAGGCCACTGTCCCTTTGAAACCCCTTGTTCTATCCTCAACTACTGAAACTGCACAACAAAGAGAATCAAATTACTAAGCAAAGGAACTTTTGTAATCCCCCCCCCCCCCCCCCCAAGTAACGACAACACAACATCTCAGACTTTCATAATTCATTCATGATTTCCTTGCAATTGACATCCTTTAAAATCGATGGCGGCTTCTCAAAGATGAAAATCCCGTCCCGATTGAAGACCGGAGGAGAAGCAGAGGGTTCACTGGCGACCGGAAGATTAGTTGCTTGAATCGATAATGGCAACTGGTGAATAAAATCGGTCCCTCCATCCTTGAATCCAACGGCGTCGTAAAATTAAAAGAATTATATTTTTATTTTTAATTATGGTATTGAAGTGGAAAATAAAAAATTAATATTTTATTATTTTTTAATTGCCACGTCATATATTTAACGGTCAACTATTAAAGTTGACTGCCACGTAAGCTAAATTTAACGGAGGCTAACGGAGAGTGACCAAACTTGAACTATTGAACTAATCTTAGTGACCACTAATAGAATTAAATATTTGTAGTGACCAAACATGAACGTTTTTAACAAACTTAGTGACCAAACTTGCAATTTACCCTTTTTGCTAAAGTTGCCATTTGATTAGCTTCACGGAATGAGCGTTCAAGTGAACAATTCCAATTTCCTTTGATAAGTCGTTGATAATCCTTCAATAATGTGCCGAGAGAGTGGAAGGCCAATACTACGGTGCCGCCTTAAAAAGTGCGGCATCGATGCCGCACTTTTTAATTGGTCCACGTGTACTGATGTGGCACTGACTGGATTCATTAAATTTCAGTTCAGCCCGGTGGCCCATTAGAGGTGACCCAACAAGCCTCTCTCAAAGTAACGGAGAGAACCCTTTCTCCGTCTAAAGCTTTTTTCAGTTTTTGTTTTTTCATTAATTAAATTAATATTAATGTAACTGATATTATTTCGTCTAGCCTACCTTCGTTGCATCCACCGCCGGCCGCCGCTCAACCTCCTCCTCACGGTCTGCCACACCAAATTTGAGCCCTATGAGAACGACAAAAGACAACAGGGGCCTAACTTATGATCTCTCATGTCTCTGATCCCAATGAACATGCAATCCTCCGAGGATTGGCTTCGTGTTGACAGTGTTTTGATTCTTGCTCCGCCTTTGCTGCTGGTCCATGATTCGATGGATAAGGGATTTCTATCTGAGGATTCTGTGGATGCAGGATCAGCCAGAGAAGCTTCTCCGCTTCCAACCCCAAATTTAATCATTGGAAACTCCATCGCCGCCTCCACCATCTACCTACATGCGATTCTGTTATTCAGTGCCATGGGCAGGTTAAACAAGTTTGCAGGGGGCACTGTTGGCTTTTAATATACCCTTGGAGGAAGTCACTAAAGTGAATAACAGATGTATCTAGGTCAAAGTCTCGTCGAAGCACTTGGTAGTAGTGACCAACAATTTACGAACCCACCCGAGAATGAAAGAAACACAATTGAGACAGAGTAACATCCTAATCACCAGGCCAGAGTAACCATAGATATATACCAGTTAAAACTAAAATCAACGAAGCAACCCAATCAATTTCCGTATGCATTCTACCCGGAAACGCAGCAAGTACTCACACGGATAATTTAACTCAAATCTATTACAAAAGCCGGTGAGAAATCACCTGAATACCAAAAATGGGCCAACATACGGAGAGAGAGGCCCCAACTAGTGTGGCTGCTGCTCTACTAACAAAAGCAGAGATTTAGAAGGAAGGAAGTATTCTTATCTCTAGTAGTTCTTATCTCTAACCAGGGAGCAAGAGAGAACCACGCTAGTGAGAGCAGACGCAGAGTCGGTGACCGGAATTGAGTGAGGCTGAAGACGGGCGGCGAAGGGCAGAGTGGGGAAGGAAGAAACTGCATTCAGATTCCGGAATTAGGTTGCTGAAAGTGCAGTAAGAAGGATTAAGAAGGATATCTAATGCCACAGACACAGAGGAGGGGTTCTCTCCGACTTCTTTCTGGGCATTACGACCCCATCAAACCTACAGAGCCACGGGAACAGCCAGACCAACGCAGGATCAGAATTGGGATCTAGGACGTTGGGGCCCAGATTGGCGGATGATGCGATTCAGAGAACGTAGATAGTTTAGGGTTTTTGTGGAGGTCGCCGCCAGTGAACTTCGCCAGAGGAAGACGCTGTATTCTGGAATCTGGATTTACATTCTTTTGACTTTTCCCCAGTGAAAAGTGAATTTTAAACGATTCAATGAAAACATAAACAATAAAGGAAAAAAGGGATTCATATTTCGCATATGGCAAGACGGAAGCTCGTACTCCGTTACTTTGGAAGATGCGATTTGGGCCGCTTCATGGGCCATCAGATGTCAATTGAATTTAACGAAATTCAACCACGGCCACATCACATCCCACATGGACCAATCACAAACGGCGTTACCGGTGCCGCATTTTTTACAGCGGCACCGTAGTATTGGCCGAGAGTGGAATTTAAAAGCCCATGAGCCATGATGGAGTAGAAGGCCTAAAGGTTGAAACCAAAGCCCAAATTCTGAAAACTACAAATAGCTCCAGGGCCCATTATAACTCGTCTTTTTGCGAGAAGCGGCCCACACCGTATATCCGAAATTCCTAATCCGCTCTATCACCACGAGATTCTTCTAGAACAGAAAAAGGAAACCAACGAACGGCCCAGATGGATCCACCACGACCGCCGTCTCCCCTCCTCCTCTTTTTCCTTCTTCTCCTCCTCTCTCCGGCCAACGCAACGGCGGCGGCCTTCTCCTTCCCATCATCCTACTACTCTCCCTACAAAACCGCATCTTCCCTTTCCCACTCCCTCCTCACCCGCGTCTCCAACCTCCGCGCCGCCCGCGGCGACGTCGCCGGCGCGAACCGCGCCCATCTCATCGCCGAGAAGTTGGACCGCGGGCTCGATTTGGGGATCTGGGGATTCGCCTGGTCAATCGGTTGGGACTACGCCAGGAATTACGCGTGGCGGGACTTGGAGTACAGGGAGCTGCTCGGCGCCGTTTCGGATCTGAACAGTGGCGGATACATGCATGGTTAGGGGTGTCCCGGGACACCCCTAAAATTTGGAAACACGATTATTCAACCTACGATAGTAATTTACGTATAAAAAAAAATGTTTAAGTGGTAGTGTGGGACACCTTTAAAATTTGGGAAAATGATTATCCAATCTCCCGTAGTAGTTTGCGTATTGATATAAATAATATTTAAGTAGTAGTTTATGTGATTTAAATTTGGGACACTGCCACTATTAGTTAATATATTTTCAATTATGCTACAACTCATTTGTTATTGTGTTTTAGATCCAAATATAATAGTAAAATGTTATTCTTATTTCAAATTATTTTCAAAACCTAACGATTAAACTCAATTACGGGATATTCTTGTCTACTAAGATAAGTCGAGAAATATTTGTTGAGCAGTATAAACACCGAATTCATTTTATCATTTGATGAAACACGTCTGAACTTTTAATGAAACTTTTATTAGTTAGATATTTTCATATTTAATAATTATTTAATTTAATTCTAATATTTAATTTAATTTAATTTTTTACAGAGGACACCCCTACGCTGAATTCCTGGATCCGCCACTGGATCTGAACAGCCTGATTTCGGTCCTGAGCGGGCTGACCTCGGCCAGATCCGACGCCGAGAGAGCGGCTTGGGCGGCGCAAAATTACGGCAATCTGGCGAAGACGGCGAGATCGACGTTGCGTAGGATGTTGAACACTTTCAACAAGAAGGTAAAAAAAGAAAAAACGTTTCTTCCCACAATTGTTCGTTTGATTGATGAATTTGGTTTTGCCCATAAGTCGGATTCGTCCGGTCGGGATATTGGCAGGGAGCTAGGGTAGGCATTCGGTCAGTTCGGTTCAAACCGAATTATAAAACGGTTAGATCGGTTCAAACCAAATTATAATTTGGTTTGGTTTTTAATACAAAAACGTACTGGTGAGGTTAGTTTGTATCTTTTCACTTTTAAATTATCTTTTCACTTTTAAATTATTTTTCACCCCTAATGTAAACAATAAATATGCATCATCAATCAATGATAAAATCAAACATTTCAATACATATGTCATAAACACTAACATAAACACTAACATGATTCAAATATTTAAGTCTCATAAAATCCACCATTTGGAGCTTGAATAATTCGATTTTTCGATTCGAAATTCGGAAATTCGATTCGGTCGAAAGGACCCTGATTTACGAAATATGTTATTTACCGAACCGTATGCCCACCCTACAGGGAGCGGTGAAGGAAGCGCCGGAGGCGGTGCAGAAGGAGGTGGTGGAAGGTGGGCTGCTGAGCGACTTCATCGCAGAATTTGTAAATAAATTTTATTATATCAACGTACAATTCCGGTGGTTGTGAGCCTTGCGAAGCGAGTATGATCTCACTATGATGAGCACTATAGCTGAATTAAGATGGATTGATATGCAATCTTTTCGACGAAATTTTCTGGTGACTAGATCTTATGGAAAAAGACTTTTGGTCAACTTTTTATGTCGTCTATTACAGCTAGACCCATGTTACGCCCAGAATGATTTCAAAAAGGACCGAGGAGCCTGAAAACAGGCTGACAAACATAAATTCATCGCCAACTAGAACCAGTAAATGGCTGGGGCCAGATAGAATTCAGTGAAGGAGCGTTTTCACTTTCATGTTGGACTTGGACGTCTGATCCATTTGCCCTATATTTATGTCCCGCCAGCTTAACCATTTTTCGCATAGCCTAGCCATTACTTCTCTCAAGTTGTTGTCGTGGGTATCATCTAGGTAGTAGAGAGGGTAAGAAACTAAGAAATCATATGGTTAAGCTTTCACAGGTGGCAAAATCTTTTTTATTAGAGCGAAATATGTTTATTTTTAATGTTTGGTGATACGATGATAATACACTACACACAAGATGAGCAAATTATACGAATAGCCCGAAAATGTACAACTCTAACAGCAACCTCAAAGTTTTATTTCTAATTAATGAGACTTCTAATGTCTTTACTATCTTTAGAAGTTAGCTTTACCATAGGTGGTACCGGATAAGTTAGTAGTATATTAGTTTTGTGGTTTAACTCCTAGTTTAATCGTTTCATCCGCTTCATAAGGGTATCGATTTTGACTTTGATAGTTGGTTTTCCCCGTCAAATTGTCGATACGATTTCGCGAACACTAGAAACCCATAATGATCCATTTGCTTGTTAAGTTGTGTGAGTAAAAAGCTCATTTGATAGCAGCAAACAAATGGGTAACAAGATAACGAATTTGAAGCAGAAAAGTGTCAAGATGATTAGCAAAGTAATTGACGTTGTCAGTGTTGTGTTCACAAGTCAGTAAAATACCTTTTGGATAGCTAAAGAATCTAGGAATTTGCCACGAAAACACACACAGAAGCTCGGACCAAACGCGGATGACAGAGCATCTTCAGCTTTTGCAGATTGCTGATGCTGATCCTGAGGGACAGTCGGCCAGGGCGGTTGTCTCGGCTCACGCAGGGGACTTGGACATGGTTGAGGTCGTTGAGCCCCAGGCTAAGCGTGCTCGTCTGGTCATCGATTCTTTGGAGAACAACAGGGTGGAGGCAGCCGGCCCAAACCGGTCCCCAGCTGATAAATGAGCATTCTTATTTGGAATTGTCGGGGTTTGGGGGCTCCCCTGACAATTCCTGCTCTCCGGGAGGTCATTACTCGGGAATCCCCTTTTCTAGTTTGTTTGAGTGAAACTAGGCGTGATGATGAGTTCGTTGTTCAGCAACTGGGTTATCTGGGTTTTTCTGAGGACCGTGTACATAGTGTGTCGAATAATGGTAGTGGCCTTGCTGTTGCCTGGTCCTCTTGTCTGGTGTGTTCTGTTTCGGTTGAGTCGTCGGGTTTCTTGTTCCTTGAGTGTGAGCATCAGTCGTTAGGTCGGTTCGCTGTTATCTTTGTTCACTTGCATTGTGATGTTGGTCCCCGTCAATTTCAGCTTAATGAAATTTCTTTTCTGGTTTCGTCGTATGAGGATCCGGTTTTTGTGATGGGCGATTTCAATTGCCTACTTTCTAGTTCAGAGAAGCAGGGGGGTAGAACTCCCACTCCTGCAGCTTTAGAGCAACTTAACCTGTTTTTAGACGCAGGGGGCCTTCACGACTTGGGATTTATAGGCCCTCCGTATACTTGGTCCAATAGACAATCTGATGCCGATCATATTCAATCTAGATTGGACCGCTGCCTAGCTAACCACCTTGTTCTCTCTTTGTGGCCAGAAGTGCAAGTTCATCATCTCACAGACAGGGGATCTGACCATAGGATGCTTCTGACTCGGTTTGTGAAGCCGGCGGTTCGACGCGTTCGTCATTTTCATTATGATAATCGATGGGATTTCAACCCTGAGGTCCCTCATATTATATATAATGCATGGTCTAAGGCTGTTGCAGGCACACCTCTCTTTCGAGTTCAATCTAAGCTAAAACAGGTGCGACACGAACTGCTTGCTTGGGCCAAAACAGGTACTTCGAATTCTGCCCGGCTGATCCGAGAGACTCGCGAAGCTATTGAGGCAGCTAGGGAGGCGGGTGTTGTTAATTGGGCGCTGATTGGCAGTTTGGAGGTGAAGCTTACGGAGGCTTACCGGCAAGAGGAACTATATTGGCTGCAGAAGTCCCGGGTTAGTTGGTTGCATGGAGGTGATGCTAATACCCGTTTCTTTCACTTAGTTACCATGCAGCGGCGACGTGCGAATTACATCTCACGTCTTCGGGATGAGCACGGAATGGTCCATTCTGACGAACAGCAGAAAGGGGAAGTCTCTCTCTCTTATTTCCAGAATATTTTCACCTCTAATGGACGTGATTCCTTGGAGTTTGTTAGAAATCTGAATATTCCGTCTCTGATATCCTCGGACATGAATGGCTTGCTTACTGCACAGGTTTCTCTAGCGGAAATTAAGCAGGCCTTCTTCAGCATTGGGAAATATCAAGCACCGGGGTCGGATGGCTTCACGGGAAGCTTCTTTCAACGATTCTGGGACATAATTGGAGCGGAGGTGTCAGAAGCGATCCTTTCCTTCTTCTCTACAGGTCGTTTACTACATACTATCAATCATACGTGGCTGGTTCTTATCCCCAAAGTTGCTAATCCCGATACTATGCGACAACTGAGACCGATTGGTCTCTGCCAGGTTATGTATAAAGCTATCTCCAAGATCCTGTCGAATAGATTGAGTGTCATTCTTCCTCATATCATTAGCCCTTTTCAGAATGGTTTTATCAAGGGTCGTAGCATTTCTGATAATATTCTTATTGGTCAGGAGGTGATGCAGTTTCTCAAAACCAAGGTTCGTGGACAGGACAAGTGGATGGCTCTTAAACTTGATATGGAGAAAGCGTATGATCGTGTGGAATGGGAGTTCCTGTTTCATGTTATGGAGTCAATGGGGTTCTGTCCTCAGTGGATGAAATGGATTAAGGCCTGCGTTACGACCGTCCGGTTCTCGGTACTCCTCAATGGCAACGAATATGGATACTTCCAGCCTCATCGGGGTATCCGTCAAGGTGATCCTTTGTCACCACTTCTTTTGCAGCAATGATCAGCCGAGCTGTTGCTGCATCTACTCTTCATGATTTAAAAATTCACAGGTCTGCTCCTCCTCTTTCTCATCTATTTTATGCGGATGACTCCTACCTTTTCCTCCGTGCTTCGGTTCCTGAATGTGCTAACCTTCTCCATCTTCTAGCGGATTATGAAATGTTTAGTGGCCAGCGTGTCAATCTCCATAAATCCGCTATGTGTGGGAGTGCGAATGTTTCAGAACAGGAGTTATCCTCAATCAGTTCATTTCTAGGAGTTGCGATTATGTCTCCTGATGACAGGTACTTGGGACTCCCGTCCCAGCTTCGCCGATCCAAATCATTGACTTTCCAATTTATTGAAGAGGATCTGGCTGCACGAATCCGAGGTTGGAAGACCAAGGCATTATCTCTAGCGGCAAAGGAAGTGGTTATCAAGTCGATTGGGGCTGCGGGGCCTATCTATGCTATGTCGGCTTTCCGACTTCCCCAAGAAACCTGTCGACGATGCAACAGTCAGTTGTCCAAGTTTTGGTAGGCAAACCAGGATAAAGAGAATGACATTCACTGGGTCTCTTGGTCCGCGCTCTGTCAGAGTAAGTTTGTGGGAGGGCTTGGATTTCGGGATTTTAATCGCTTTAATGTTGCTTTGTTAGCTAAGCAGGCTTGGCGCATACTTTGCAACCCCTCTAGCACTCTTGCACGGATATATCAAGCACGATATCATCCTCAACGGGTGTTCTTAGAGGCAACGGTAGGCTCCCGTCCGTCGTGGGCGTGGCAAGGCATCCTGGCAGGGCGAGATCTTCTTAGTCGGGGTCTGAGATGGCAGGTTGGAAACGGGTCTCGGATCCGTACTTTAACAGATTCCTTCTTCTCCTCCCTCTGCCCCGGTTTTACGACCAGGTTTGAGTACCTGCCCTCCTCGCGTCTCGGATCTCATTTGCTCTACCTCTCACTCATGGAAGAAGGATCTCTTACTTTCTCTGTTCACCCTAGAGAGTGTTGATCTCATTCTGTCTATCCCTCTCCCTCTTTCTGTGTCGACTGATCGTTTGATTTGGCATTATTCATCCTCTGGTCTTTACACTGTTAAAACAGGTTATCATCTTTTGTCTTCGGAGTTTGAGCTCAATCACCCTCCGGTGGTCCTCCCTTTTGATACTCGGTTTTGGAAATTTCTTTGGAGTGTCCCTGTTCCTCCAAAACTAAAGTTCTTTTTTTGGCGGGCTGTCCGTGGCTTCTTGCCTTTGCAGATAGTCTTGTTTACAAAAACTCTTGTGACTGACACGACTTGCCCTATATGTTCCGAGGAGCCAGAATCCTTTTCCCATTTTTTCTTTTCTTGCAGGATAGCTCGCGGATTGTGGCAACTGGCGAGCCTTGAAGAGTTGAGCAATACCCTTGGTGGAATGAGTCCTGACGAGGCCTGGCACCATCTCTTCTTTTCTATGAATTTGTCGAAAATTGAGATTGCTAATGTTGTTTTCCTTCTCTAGAGGATTTGGAAGGGGAGATGTTGGGCGGTCCATGAAGGCATTCAATATCTCCCGGTGGCTCTGTTTTGGCAGTTTCAGCGCCAAGTCGATGAATGGAGGACCTTAGGGCCACACCCCTCAGCGCCGCCGCCCGTAGATACTGTTTCTGCAGCCCCAAGGCCCTCTCGTGCTCCCAGAAGCACCCATACGACTTCTGTGTCCTCTACGTCGATCAATGTCTGGTTCGATGGTGCTACCAAGCGTGGGCAAGGAGGTAGTATTGGATTTGTCGGTTTCCAAACGACAGGTACTGTTCTGTTTGCCTTTGGAAAATTTTATGATGGGATTCAAGACCCTTTTCTCATGGAATGCTTAGCTCTACGGGATGCTGTGCAGTGGTGTCTAACTCATTCCTTTCTTGCTGTTTGTTTTCATGGGGACTCTCAACTCTTGATCCGTCGGATGATTGGAGGGGATGTGCAACATGTTCGGGGTGGCGCTATATTGGAGGACGTTCGGAGCTTGACTTCTTCGTTTCACACTGTTTCCTTCTGTTTTGTGTCCCGTCACCTTAATAGGGCTGCCCATCATGTGGCACAAAAGGCCCTCTCATCGGGAGTTCGACTATTGGTCGACTCCCGCGCCTTTCTGTCTTCCGATTTGTGACTTTTGATTAATATTCTGACTTTGGAAAAAAAAAACCAACAAATATTTTACTGTCGACTGCCGACAGTCCCTGTTCACTTTCATTTTCGTTTCCTGTTTTCTGTTTTCATGTCATAAATTTGGCAACAGAAACGAGAAAACTTGTTTACTTTTCATTCGGTTTTCTATTCGTTTCCAACTATGAAAACAGAAAGTGGCAACTTCCTGCTGTTTTTGGAAACGAAAAAATGTTGTTTTCACCTGTTTTCAACATCTGTTTTCTCAAAAACAGGAAACAGAAATAAAAGTAAACAGGCCAAGGCCAAGTTGACCACTTCCACGTTTCCAACTTCCCAACTGACCAATTCCTGGATTTGGGTAAAATCCTGAATTGTCAACTCTCCATGCAGATTCACCTCCTTTTTTCCCTCACAATCATACACTAATATCCCGCGTGACATTAATGAACACAACCAAACCCTCTCAACTGTGACTCTGCCCCCAATTAAAGCAAATCGCCACACTACTTGTTCCCTCCCTCCCTCCATTCTTCCTCTTCATTCCGCCATTATCACTCCCCCTATAAACTCCTCCACCTCTTCACATCCAAACCTACATTGCAATCTCTCACTCACCATTCCTTCCCATCTCTAGCCATGGCCGCCGCCGTAGCCTTGGTAGCACTAGTAGTCCTCCTCCTCCAGCAACAACATTGTGCCATTGGACAACAAGTCCCCGGCTACTTCATCTTCGGCGACTCCCTCGTCGACAACGGCAACAACAACCAGCTCCAGTCCCTTGCCAGAGCCGACTACATGCCCTACGGTATCGACTTCCCCGGCGGCCCCTCAGGCCGCTTCTCCAACGGCTTAACCACCGTCGATGTCATCGGTACGTTACATCGTGTCGCTTTCCTTTTTCCCCCTCCTGACTAACCATAATGTGACGAAATGTGAAAATCAACAATACAAAAAAAGTAAAAAGCAAGTAAATTTATGTGATTAAATAACACGATGTATGTTGGCTACATCCACGAATTAATTTGTATCCCGAACATCCAAACCTAAGACTTCGTCCTTGAACTCCGATTACTGATGCTACATCAAAAAGTACAAAACTCGTAACTTTCAATCGAGAGCAGATAATTTGTTTTTAATTTGTAGCTACGGTTACAAGAAACCTCAATCTTGACCGACTGATTTGTGTGTTTCTTTTCTTCTTTCTTGTAGCCGAGCAATTGGGATTCGACGACTACATCCCGCCGTACGTGACGGCGAGCGGGCAGGACGTTCTGGGAGGAGTGAACTACGCCTCGGCGGCCGCGGGGATTCGGGAGGAGACCGGCCGGCAGCTGGGAGGAAGGATTAGCTTCAGCGGGCAAGTGAGGAACTACCAGAACACGGTGCGGCAGATCGTGGACATCCTCGGCAGCGAGGACGCGGCGGCGGACCATTTGGGAAAGTGCATCTACTCCATCGGGTTGGGGAGCAACGACTACCTCAACAACTACTTCATGCCGCAGTTCTACAATACCGGCAGCCAGTTCACGCCGGAGCAGTACGCCAGCGACCTCATCCGCCGATACACTCAGCAGCTACAGGTCGGTCAAACTACTTCCACCCCCTTCGATCGCTCTCGCGCGCGCCTGATCTGAAATTTCTGTTCTCTGTTTTGTTGATTGAATTGTTTTCGGATATGGGTTCTCGATCTCAGATCATGTATAACTACGGGGCGAGGAAGTTCGTGCTGATCGGAGTGGGTCAGATCGGGTGCAGCCCCAGCGAGCTGGCGCAGGGGAGCCCCGACGGGAGGACCTGCGTGCAGAGGATCAACGCCGCGAATACGATCTTCAACAACAAGCTCCGATCTCTCGTTGCGCAGTTCAATCGGAACACACCCGATGCGAAATTCATCTACATCAATGCATACGGGATTTTCCAGGACTTGATTAACAGCCCTGCTCGTTTCGGTAAGAAATCAGAGCTCCCCTGTTTTTTTACCCTGTTTCTTTTTCTATTATGTCTCCCCTGAAGATAGAAAAACAGAGTAAGTTCTTGCTTTTGGGGATTATTTTTGTTTATAACTCAGGGTTTAGAGTGACGAACGCCGGGTGCTGTGGAGTTGGGAGGAACAACGGTCAGATTACTTGCTTGCCGTTCCAGACGCCGTGCCGGAACAGGAACGAGTACTTGTTCTGGGATGCTTTCCACCCGACGGAGGCGGCGAATGTAGTCGTCGGGCGGAGGTCTTACAGGGCGGCGTCGCCTTCCGATGCTTACCCTTACGACATTCGTCGGCTCGCCCTCGCCTAGCTCTAAACTTCCCTCACGGGAGACCTTTGAGAGACCTTTGAGCTCTAAACTTCCAAGTATATTTAATATTCTAAACAACTAATCTTCTTTATGTTTGTGGAGACACGTCTAATTTTTTCTTTCTAATTGAGTAGAATGAAGTTGATATTATCGAGTGGAGAGTGAAGAAACTTAATTGACAAGGAAGAAGAAGCTTTCAATTAATCATGTTGTTTATGGATAATTTGTGATTTGCTTCAATTTTCTTGAGTTTTCTAGATTGGTGTAACAATTTGTATAGTTCATTTGTGATTTGCTTGAATTTTCTAAAATGGTGTTTTATATATGGATAATTTGTATTGAGAGATTGATATTTGACTTGAATTTTGATAGGAACTTGTTATTGTAAATTTCTTACGACAAAAACCCTAGAGTACCAATGAACCCACGGATACCCAGCAAGTTGGGTTGAGTTTGAGTTTTTCAAACCCAATTGATTTTACTCCGGTTTCTTTTCACGGATAAACCCATGGGTTTGACAAAACTCGACTCATTGCCATCCCTAGTTCCTACAAATTTTACACCACCAAAATTTGTAAACAAACAATGAATTCTTGCCAAATCCATACTAGTCGAGATTTGCTACCCAAAGGCATCAAACAATCAAACAAACAACTCATAAGCTTCAACCTGATCCAAAGATCGTTCATACTTTAGTTTAGTGCATCTCAACTAAAAGATGACAATAAAATCCGAATTTACTATTACCCTACCCGTTCAAAGTAGATAAAATCCATGTCGACTAATTGTAGATTAGTTCGAATTGAAACTCGTTGCACTGTTCAGTGGATTGAATTTGAGGTTCCAGAACCCATTAAATATTTCTCCAATTTCCTTTTGTGGCTATTCAACTAGATTAAATTTGAATTTGATACAACTCAACCTAACCCTTCCCTACCAAACTCAGAGGCGCAGAACTGGAATAAGTCTAGAGGAATCACCTTAGGTGCGGGATTTCTTCAAAGGACAGTACGACAGCTCCAAAAGACTCGCGCTTACCTGCTGACAACCAATCCTTTTCTAGTGCTTTAACACGTAACCTCTACCTAACACTCGCCCTTCTACCTCTACCTCTACCTCCTACCTCTCCTTTCTTCCTTTCGTTCCTACCCTCTGGGCTTTAACACGGAACCTCTGCGCTTTTTTCCTACCCTAGGTAGTTTTATCACTATAAACTTATCTGACTTCCTAGTCGAGAACTCTTGGGCAAGGAGGGGCGTAGCCTCTTTCGAGATGCGATGAGTGCTATCTTAATATAAGAAAAAGGTAAAGCTACCGGTTGCAGCAGTTACAACTGTAGTGGCTGGTGTAGCTGCTGTGATGACATAGGTTCCCGGGGGTACCGACTGGTTACAATTATTTGGAAGAGAGTTTCGCTGTCGCAGGTTTAAAAGAAACTTTTGAAGAGATTAGAAATAGCAAATCTGCGAGAAAGGAGAGATGACAATCTCTAATCTCAACTTCTCCCACGCACAACTTGTGGATTTCTTGTCTTCTACGGTAGCAAATTTGTTGGGCCTAAAACTGGAAGAGGCCCAAATTACTTGGGTCGGTAATGAGGGTGGGCATAATCGCATAAGAGAGGACAAAGCAGGCCCGTCCCCTCTCAATCCGAATTCCGAGCTGATTGGGCTGATTGCCATATAGTTGTGATTCCGATCCCTCGTGGGTCTTTGTACACCTTCTCTTCTCTTCTCTTCTCTTCTGAAAGTGAATTGTTCAATGTGTTCTCCATGCAAGCTTCTGAGCAAGAGACTGAACTATGGGGATGACAAATTGGGTCTCAATGTTTGGATATTATTCAAACTCTGGCTCAAATCAAGTTTAGATAAAAAAAAAAAATTGCCATACGGTCATTCCAATTTTTTAGTTTGAGTCTAAATTGGACTCATAATATTCAAAACTCAAAAGAAAATGGGTACCCAATTATAATGCAATTACTTTCTTATTTTTTATTATGAAAATAATTGAAAGATGAAAATTACCTACATCAAATGTGTACAATTGGGTTGAAGGTAGTTAATGAATAGTTGATATTGTTTTTTTTATTTTTTATATAATCATCTAGATCCAATCAGACTCATTTGAATATAACCGAAATTAATTGACCATAATAGAACCCAATTCAAACCTAACCCATACCAAAATCATTAAAAATACACATAGGTAAAAATTTAGGTCCAACCCAATACCAATATGGGACATGACATTTGGCTCAAATCACCCAAATGGGTCACTGCAAAGATATAAATTAGATTATTGAATTATTTTACGAAAATAATTTATGCATATGGGCCAATTCCGTTCTTAATTTCTTCTGCTTTGCAATAAAAAGAAACTTCAAAAAGAAAAATTATCAACCTTGTAAACCCGTCATTCAAGGGTGGCCGGCCAAATGACTCACCACGATGCTAAGTGGCAAGTCGATACTTCCTCCACCATTGTAATAAGCCACACCCTTCTCCAAAAATGGCAAAGAGAAAAGGCTAAGCCATCACACGACATCCCCCCGGCGCTGATAATGATCATCCTCGCCGTCTTCTTGTCGGTAATCACCTCGTCGTCGTCCTTGTACGAGGTGGTCACCGCCGCCGCCGATCCACAAGTACCTTGTTTCTTCATCTTCGGAGACTCCCTCAACGACTGCGGCAACAACAACGACGCCGACACCAAGGCGAAAGCGAATTACAAACCCTACGGGATCGACTACCCCGATGGCCCCACCGGCCGGTTCACCAACGGCCGCACCGCCGTCGATTTTCTCGGTTCGCTCTTTGTCTCGCCCTCTCTCTCGACGTAGACCACATTGAGTTTTTTTTTTTTGGTGTGTTTTGAATTTGGGGTTTCTTTTCCTTTGCGACGTTGTTGCAGCCGAACATCTGGGGTTTGGTAATCCGATTCCACCGTTCACAACCGCGAAAGGTGACAGCATACTCCAAGGGATAAATTACGCGTCGGGCTCCGCCGGGATCCTCGACGAAACCGGCAAGCATCTGGTAATTAACAACACACATTTTCTCAATAAATTGATTGTTTTTTTCAATTTAAACTATGTGAGAAACAAAATTGTGTTAATAAGTGGTATATGATTTAAGATTTGAATTATTTATGATAACTCGAGTTATATGTGATCGATTGGTTCTTGACATGAAATCAGAGACTTATGTGATCGAGAGGTCTTCCGTTCGAACAGATTCCTATTTGTTAAGCATTTGGTATTCGAACTTGTGCAAACTTTAATATAATTTGAGTAAACTTTCGTTTGAGAGAGTATGTTTAATAAGTGGTATATGATATGATCCATGATTGGATCTTTCCTAATGACTGGATCTCTCCCAATGACTCGAATTATTGAGATCAACTAGTTCCTGATATAGTATAAGAGACTTATGTAATCGAGAGATTTTCTGTTCGAATCCTAATAATTCCATGTTTGTTAGGCACATCATATTCAAACATGTGCAAATTATGAACTTCTATAAGTTGGTTTTCGTTTGAAGCTAGAGATGTGTTAGTAAGTGGGTATATGATTCATAATTGAATCCTACAAACAAATCGAGTTAATGATATCAATCAGAGCCTTTTGGAATCTAGGGGTTTTTTTGTTTGAATCCCGGATTTCCAGTGATCACCCTATTTGTTAAACATATGGTACTTGAAGATGTGCAAACTTCAACCAATATGAGTTTGAATCATCTTCCAATCACTCGATTTATTGACATCAACGCATTATTGACGAGAATTGCATGGATGTAGGGAAAGAACGTGCCATTGGGGACACAGGTCCAGAACCACCAGAAAACATTCTCCAAGATCGCGGCCATGAAGGGCGGCAAAGACTCGGCAACGAAACACCTCAACGGTTGCATATACTACATGTCGATCGGTAGCAACGACTTCCTCAACAACTACTTCCTTCCCAAGCAATACAAGACCAGCAAGCTGTACTCCGTCGATAAGTTCACCGTTCATCTCGCCACCACCTACCGTGACAAAATCAAGGTACGTACGTACGTAATTCATTTTCCCCCGTATCGATACATTTCCAACAACTCGAATTATTCGGACCAACTGGTTCTTTTGAACGCATGCGTGCGTGCAGACTCTGCACCACTACGGGGCGAGGAAGATAGCCGTGGTCGGGGTCGGGAAGGTCGGGTGCGTCCCCCACATGATGGATATGTTCGGCACCAAGGGCTCCAAGTGCATTCAGAACGTGAACTCGGCGGCGCAGAACTTCAACAAGCAGCTCAAGAAGCTCGTCGTCGATCTCAACAAGGAGCTCAAAGACGCCAAGTTGATCTACATCAACTCTTACGGGATGAGCGATGGGGATCCCACGATTCTAGGTAACATATATATACCTTCATCCACCAAATACTTACATGACATGCAGTGGCGTAGCCAGAAATTTATTTAAGGTAGTTCAGATGTGGGGGAATATATATATAACGTTAAGTTTCATTATGTGTTCATGTTCTGAAATTTTTTCTAAAATACATTCATCATGAAAATTATGAGGGATGTTTAGATACCAAATCGAAAAAACTGTTCATAATTCCACCAACTAATCTAATTCTGAAGTGTTTTTTTTTACTTTGGTTATTGCAGTAAGTAAGTGCTTTTTCAACACTTACAATGACAACCGATAGCAACAAACACCCCTGATCAATTTTGAGTTACTGTTTATATTAAACTCATTTAAATTAAAAAGTTATATAGAGATCACAAAACATTAATTTTTGTACACTATCTAGAATAATAGGGAGATCTTATATTCAATCGATAATCACATAAAGAAATTTACTCTACATTTCTTTGAGCCAAGGTGGTAGGGGTGGCTATACGGTCCGGTTAAATTTGACCAAATTGATCCGGTCCCAATCCGGTCTTTTCGGGAATATAAGGACCAAAGATTGGATTGGATACAATCCGGTCTTGATCCGGTCCGGTCTTGACCCGGTCCGGTCCCAATTTGGTCTTGATTTTAGGTGTTTGGGGTCTCTTGTCCTTTTTTTTTACCTCAAAAAGCCCGAATATGAGATTGGATTGTTTGCTATCCGGTCCCGGTCCGGTTTATACGGTCCGGTTTCGGGTAAAACCAAACAGTCCGGACCAAATAGCGAGCCCTACAAGGTGGTGCAAATGGCCCACTTTGGCCCAAAGTGGCTCCGCCATTCATCACATGCATGTGATTCTAGATTTGTTGTAACATATTGGAAAATCGACAATGCAAAAAACTACGTTGTTCACTAACACCATGTGTGTTAGCTAATTTATGGGTACGAGAGATCAGTTTCAGTGTTTCACTATACTTGAGAAGATACATAGTACATATATTGAGAAAGTATGCATATATAATACTTTCTCCAGACGGCCTAATCCTAATCGAACCTGAAAAAGGGGGAAAAAAGGTTGCAGACCCGATTCGAAATAGTCGACGATAGATAATCTGTTTTCAAATCGTATAGCAGCATGGATCGATGAAGCCACCATGATAAAGTTAATCTAATTAGTTGTTGTGAACTCGCTTAGGTATGATTCCGCCTAGCCACTAGTCAGATTAAAATGGAAGAACCAAAACTACTCTAGCAAACTACAGTTAAAGTTAATCTAATTACAGGTTGTGAACTCACTTAGGTATTATTTCGCCTAGCCACTAGCCAGATTAATGATTGATGATCTCTAACCTGTTTTACTTTCATTCACAATGCGGAGAATCCTTAACTAGACCTTGAGTCTTGACTAAAGGAACAAGATCCTCTTGAGTCAATTGCATAGATAATCTGTTTTCAAATCGTATAGCAGCATGGATCGATGAAGCCACGATGATAAAGTTTTTTTTTTCCCCCCTTTGGTTTCTGTTTCGATCTGTGTAGGTTTCAAGTACATAACCAGTGGATGCTGCAAATCGAGAGAAGATGGACAGTGTGTGGAAGGCGAAACTCCTTGTTCGAACAGAAAGGAGTACGTGTTTTGGGATTCGTTTCATCCGACGGAAACCGGCCACAAAGCCGTTGCAGACCGAACTTACAAATCCTTGCTGCCTTCTGATAGCGACCCGTTCGATCTCCACAGCCTGGCCGCTCTCGATATAGGCAAGCAGTAACGACAGAAGATCTAGAACGTAAATTTAGATGTTAACTATCTGCATGCAGTGTTCTTAGTTTTTTTCTCGCCGAAATACGTACGATTGAAGTGCATACATGATTTCGTATAGTCATTATGGCATTTGGTATCCCACTAACAGCTAATTTGAATTCATAAGCTTTTGTAAAAGAACGATTTTTTATCATATTCCTATTGAAATTTTATTTATTAGGTCTGTGATTTTGTTAATGTAACACATCAAAGAAAAGGATAAGAGTTTTTATCTGTAATAATAAGAGAGAGAGAGATGCATGTTTTAAGAAGAGTTTTGGGTTTAGGGCAAAGTCTTTTTAATAATTTAATGTTAAGAAAAATATATTGCAGGTGTTAAAAGTGGGAGACGTGCTGAGGAGACTAGTGAAAGAGGACTCGAGCTATAATGTAGAGCTTTTTTTTATGGTGACTTTAATTTGTACTTTCTTTCCTAATAATAAGGAAGATTTTGGATTTATGGGGTTTGGAAAGGTTAGTGAAGCAAACTGACACCGATTGATTTCTAAGAAATAACTTTTGTTACACATCTTTCATTAACTAATTAGAGAGTTACATGGTCACAAATGGGACCCCGACGACGTCATTCTCGAACCTAGTACCAGGCGTACCTGAATTCATATTAGACCAGACTCTTCTTTCTTTGAGCTGCTCCCACGCACGTTGACCGGAAGAGAAGATTTCAGTTGTCCTAGATGAAAATAGCATAAACAGAGCCCAGTCTTCTCTAAAAGAAGCAAGTGCAAGTTACAAGAAACGCGACAGATCCAAAATATAGTAAAACACTGAGTCAAATTTGAAAAGAGGCGGAGAGTGTTGTTTGTGGCCTGACTAACACTGGACTGAATACCTAAAATCGAAAAATTTATAAGTGCTATACTATCTCTGGACCCAAAGGACGACTCGGATGTGGCCTGAATGGGCCTCCCCTAGATCCATCACTGCCAGAAAAACTACTACTAGCTAATGTCAGAGAATCTTTGCTTGATCCAACTTGCCTTGATGTGTGCCTCCTCCTTTTTCAAAATGAAATTCGATATTAACTATGTTGGCCAGTGACACAAAAATGTGTTGGATACAATGCAATATAACCTTCCAATTACCATTTATGGAATGTCTCTAACTTTTCCTTCAATTGATTTTTATGGACAATTTCTCTTTCTTTTTATGTTCGTTTTTTTTTTCCATAGAAAATCTAATTTATTGTGTTCAAAATAGCATCTACTTTGACATACTTTGTAGTACACAAGATTATCCTACGTGTTATGAAAGTGTATCATAGTGATATGAAGATAGTAGAATGTAGAAATGATTGTCCACATTATAGTAGGAATATACTAACCATCATTTACCATCTTTCATCAATGTATATGACCCAATCACCACATAATACCTGGGTGGTATATTTGGTTTTGAAATATTTTCTCCCAGAAATTTGTGGATCCATAGATCATGAAGTACTAGTTTCTTGTAGGCAAATTTTTTCAAATTCGAGTTAACTAAAAACGTAGGTGGTACCAAGTGATACCAGATGACTATGACGAACCCGGTAATTTTATATAGGGGTGTCCTCTTTTTAAAAATAAATAAAATAAAATAACAATTAAATAATTCTTAACTAACAAAGTATCTGACTTGTACAAGTTAAAAAAAGTCCACTGTGTGTTTTCATATTCGGAAATAATTACAGAATACACTTGGTGTCTACACTGCTAAAAAAATGTCTCTGCATATCCTACTAGACAATCATTTATGAACTAATATTATATTCGATTTCTAAACTTGTTCTTTATGTAACCCAAAACTGAAAAGACTATTTCAGCACTTTTCGTGCAACCATAAAATCAATACAAATTAAGTGTAGCTTGAAATTAGTTTAATTGTTAAGTTTTGAAAATAATTAGAGATAGAGAAAGACATTTTACTATTACACAGTGTTTACAATCGAACAACAAATGAGTTGTAGCCTAATGGAAATTATGTTCATTAATAATACCAGTGTCTAAGATCTGAATTATCCAAATTACCACTTATATTCCATACGCAAACAAAAAAAATGATAGAGTAGGATAATAATTTTTGCAAATTTCAGGGGTGTCCCCAACTATCAATTATAATTTTTTTGTCGATACGTATATTACTATCGGGAGTTAGATAATCGTTTTCACAAATTTTAGGGATGTCCCGGGACACCCCCAAAGACCCCTGGGTCCACCCCTGCCAGATGATACTAGGGTGGAAATGACTAACGAGTGGTATGGGTGGTATGAAAATTCTTTTCTCGAAATATCTTGCAAATGAATATAATTTTGTAGATCAGAAAGAATCCGTTTCATCTATGCAAATTTTTGACATCCAAGTTAAAATAAAAACAATAAAAATCGATTAAAGAACAAATAAGTACTTTAATCTCACTCCTTAAATCTGATCCCACTTCAAAAAAATCAAGGATAAAAATGTAATGCACCCTATCTTGCACTAGATTCACCATCCTAACTTGTATAAAATTTAGTTAGAAAATTGGTCACTTATAAAGTTATAATAAAATCTATCAACATTTTCTTTTTTTGAGAGAATAAAATCTAGGGTGTGCCTACGGTGACATGCATGTCACGGTGACTTGCACTTTCCGGTCGACCTCAGTTAGGATTAGGTCGACCTCATTTAGAATTCGGTCGACCTCATATAGGATCCGGTCGACCTTATTTAGGATTCGGTCGACCTCATATAGAATCAGGTCGACCTAATCTGTTGTTTCAATGTAAAAACAGTTCATGGTGCCTACTTTGGATATTCATATCATACAATTGGCTAGATGGAAATTGAAGACTAATGACTTGTTTTGAAGCTGGAGTGTCCCTCTACATATTGAAGTGATTGAGAGCTCGATAGGAAGTCCAGAAGACCATTTTTGAACCTCATCAAAAGGCTATGCCAATACTGGGAAACTGCCTGGAAATGGCTAAGTCTCGAAACGTGTTTGTGAAGCCTATTTTGGAGCTCAATTCGAGAAGCATGAATGCCAGTCGAGTCCACGAGCCTCTACCACGTTAAATTAGGTATGTTTTTATACAAATTCAAGGCATTGGATGAAAGATTGGATATCTGTAAGGCTTCAAACAAAAGGGTCGAAGTTGCTACGAAGGCTGTTTTTTTTGCAGACCTCGAGCACAAGCAAGCGGTCAGAAAAACAGCCTTCATAGCAACTTCGAGCCTTTTGTTTGAAGCCTTAAAGATATTCAATATTTCATCCAATGCCTTGCCTTTGTATAAAAAATACGTAATTTAACGTGGTAGATGCCCCTAGACTTGACTCGCATCCATGCTTCTCAAATTGAGCTCCAAAGTAGGCTTGACAAACACGTTGCCAGACTTAGTCATTTTCAGGCAGTTTCCCAGTTTTGGCATAGCCTTTTGGTCAGGTTCAAAAATGGTCTTCTGGACTTTCTATTGAGCTCCCAAGTACTTTAATGTGTAGAGGGACACTCAGCTTCAAAACAAGCCTTTAATCTCCAATTTCCATATAGCCAATTGTAAGATATAAATCTCCAAAGTAGGCACCATGAAACTGTTTTTACACTGAAACAACAGATTAGGTCGACCTGATCCTATATGAGGTCGACCGAAAAGTGCATGTCACCGTGACATGCATGTCACCGTAGCAAAGTCCTAAAATCTATCAACGTTGACATTTTACACCACCAGCTTTCAATTAATACAAGCATTCCCACATTCAATAATAAAAAATAAAAAAAAGCTTCAATTCCTATCTAATATAATTATTAACTAAATTAGTAATGTAAACAAAATTTAAACGATGAATCGATTGGGCAATCTTCATCTACGACGTGCGAGCTATATATATACCCTAGCATTGCCCATTGCCATACTTTTTTTCTCTACCACCCAAACACACTTTCTTAACGTTCTCTTCCGCCTTCGTCCAATACATTATTTATCGTAATATTTGTTTCTTTCTTCTAGTGTCCGGCAATGGGAAGTCGCCGGAGTTCTCTCCACTCACGCCCGCCTCCAACACTTTCCATGCTCATCGCCGTCGTCGTTGTTGCACTGGCAGCCGGAGCCGCCGACGGGTTTGCGCCGCGGGTGCCTTGCTACTTCATATTCGGGGACTCCCTCTTCGACAACGGCAACAACAACAACCTCAGCACGGTGACGAAGGTCAATTACTCCCCGTACGGCGTCGATTTCCCCGCCGGACCCACCGGGAGGTTCTCCAACGGCCGAACCACCGCCGATTTAATTGGTGCATGCGCTTAATTAATTAGTTAGTTAATTACTTCAAACATAAATTAATCATCATAAATATTTATTAACTAATTGTTTTTTTTTTTTTGGGGTATGAAGGTGAAATGCTGGGATTCAGAAAATTCATCCCGCCGTTTGCATCGAACCCCGACGAGAGACAGATACTCGTCGGGGTGAACTACGCATCGGGGTCCGCCGGAATTTTATTCGAGAGTGGAAAACTGGGGGTAATTAATTAATCATTATTATTATTAGTTAATTTCCTCTTTTTCTTACTGTTCTTTTTTAGTTACTCTTAAGTCTTAATCAAGAAATTAGTTAGCTTATAATTAGCTAACTAAATCATCCACAAGCTTAGTACATGCTGAAAATTTCTCTTTGTCGACTCAATCCAACTCTCTTCACCCTTTTTGCTCTCTGGTTAATTTTCTAATTTCTATATATGACTCATACAAGCAATTCCAAGCCGGAGAACGCTGGTAGTAAACTCATTATTTGGCTTGTTTTTCAGCTATTTTGAGGCCTTTTTCCCAAATGTCATCAACCCAAATGACATTATTTTGCAAAATGTCATCAACCCAAATAAAAAAATTGTCCCTGAAAAAAACCAATTAAAATACATAGCTGTGATAAGCGGACAAATGATTGGTCTAGTGGTATTATCACTGATCTTGAATGATCTGTAAGTTCTAAATTTGAATATTATAAGTTAGAAAAACAAACTTATATCATCATTATCTAAATAAATAAAAAAAGACAGAGTTGTGATAATGAGCACAACACGTCATCATATGTGATGACGGAGGTGAGAAATGGTTCAATCCAGTTGAACCGGATCAATATCTTTCATCTAGACCAACTCCCTCACCGTCATGTATGGGTTGGGCTCGTCTGGAAATTGGGTTGGGTTGGGACCTCGGTAATCATATCCAGTTTCTCCGTGTAAAACCGGATCGGATCAGGTGGGTGTTATTGTAACTATAGCAACTGAAAACCAAATGGAACCGGTTAATACGGTTCGGTTTTTTATTAAACCGATTCCCAACCCTAAATTGTATGATGGTACAATTGTAAAAAAAAAATTATCCTTTTTGTAGGGTGACAACATAGACCTGGACCATCAATTGAAGAATCACGAAGTGACGGTATCACGTATAGCCCAGATATTGGGGAGCAAGCAGGCTGCCGGCGAGCACCTAGGGCAATGCTTGTACATATGTAATATGGGCAACAACGATTACCTCAACAACTATATTCTGCCCCAATCTACTGAGATCAGGAATCGGTATAACCCTGACCAATTC